GTTTATATACACGTTGTCACCATGTTTGGGCTGGTAAAGCAAGAATATGCCGGTATGGAGGTGATCATAGCAGATAGGGGGCATCCTTGTCCACCATAGTTGGAGGACAACGGGCTGCAGTGAAGAAAGCCCGGCCTAGTCTACATCCCTGTGCATTTCATAAAGGGGCGTTGTTCTAAATTTACTTCCTCCTCTGTCTTATTTCTCTCAGCTTCAAAAGGCTTGTCCGTGTCAATCACTGGCAGAGGTCACGTGGACGGGGTAACCGGTACATGCAGAACCGGAATCTAATCAATGAAACACTCAATATGGACAACGACAGACGACCCCTGGTTACAAAGATGTTAAACCTGACCCTGGAGATCCTCTACCTGCTGACCGGAGAGGTGAGGTGGATTCTGGGAGGTCACATGACATCACTCCTATCTCTATTAATAAAACACAGACCTGACCGGAGAGGTGAGGAGGATTCTGGGAGGTCACATGACACCACTCTTATCTCTATTAATAACACACAGACCTGACCGGAGAGGTGAGGAGGATTCTGGGAGGTCACATGACACCACTCTTATCTCTATTCATACACCCGCAGACCTGACCGGAGAGGTGAGGTGGATTTTGGGAGGTCACATGACATCACTAGTAATAAAACACAGACCTGACCGCAGAGGTGAGGAGGATTCTAGGAGGTCACATGACATCACTAGTAATAAAACACAGACCTGACCGGGGAGGTGAGGAGGATTCTGGGAGGTCACATGACACTACTTTTACGAAACTGAGCGTACTCTACAGTGGAATAATCGTTAGTTTTTGCTTCACTCCAGGATTACATCACTTTCAAACTTTCCGATGGTTGGGTTGCACCCCACATGAAACAGATTCAGAACCCCACCATGGAGCCTCCATCTCCTTCCCCGACACCTGAGAGGAACAACGACAAGAAGATTCTAGAAGTCACCCAGAAGATCATGGAGCTGCTGACAGGAGAGGTGAGCGGTGCCGGGAATTGTGGGACATGATCCAGGAACAGACAAGGGATGTGTCTGGGTGGTGACTGTATCATTGTGTGTGTCAGGTTCCTATAAGGTGTCAGGATGTCGCCGTCTCACTTGCGGTGGAGAACTTGCAGAGCTCTGGAGGACAGAAGGAACTCTACAAGGAAGTGGTGGTGGAAAACTACCCAACCTTCGACTTCCACGGTAAATTCCACCAACGTTTACATATTTCCATTTGGGGTTACCAAGGTTATAAAGAGGTTTTGAATTGTTCCATATAGTCCTTCGTGAGCAGTTGTGAGCGTGTCACTAAAGCTCAGGTCCCACTGCCCAATGTCTGGTTCACACCACACTCTCGGGCTGGCTGGTTGAGGTTCACAACGGAGTCCCTGAGGGTCATGTGACCTCACGTGCACACAGTAGTAGTGCCCTCTTGTGTTCCCAATATTGAAGTGATGACTAAAACACAGCCAGCAAAATGACCAAAATCTTTTCACTTAGACCTACCGTTGTGATTTGTTTTACAGGAGATGTCTTTTACTCCGCCGGCCCACCAGGAGGGTTGCCCGCCACCACCGGCTCTTCCAATGGTCAAGTCAACGAGGCCGGATTCATTATCACGATTAACAGTCAGGAAGTCTCGGCCATTGGGGAAGCAGACATCAGAACCGGCACCAAGGACAACCTCGACCAGGTGGTCTCTGTTCAGGACGGAAACACAGTTGCCAATATCTATAAGGAGCACGGGTACACAACGGTCTACGCCAAAGAGGTGCTGGTTTCCATGGAAAATGGTGACCTTGCCACTATATACGCACCACCTGAGGACATGGCGTTCATCTCCAGTGAGGTTACAGAGATATGCGTGACCTGCGATGAAGAACCGCCCGTCAACCCCATTGATTCTCCACAGTCTAAACATCCAGACACTCTTGCTGGGGAGGAGAACGTTAGAGACGGGATCCCTTTGCCGGCACAGAATGAGACCTCAAATCCTCGTAAGGCAAAATTGAGAAAGAGAACGGCTCACTCGGTGGGTCGAGAAGATCTTCGCCGACAATTGGAACTGAAGAAGGCTCAAGGCCAAGAAGAGTTCTCTTGCCCGCAATGTGGCAAGAGGTTTTCCTGCCGGTCATTGTTGACGCGGCACGAAAGGATTCACACAGGCCTGAAGCCCTTTGCTTGCCTCGAATGCGGCCGGTGTTTTAACCGGGTGGAAAACCTGGCTACCCACACCAGGATCCACAAAGGAGAGAAGGCGTTCTCCTGCCCCTGTGGGAGGGTCTTCCACCGAAAGGAGAGTCTCATCCTCCACAAGCGCACCCACTCGGGAGAGAGGCCTTTCTCCTGCACCAACTGCGAGAAAAGCTTCACCAACAGCTCTGACTTGGCACGGCACAGGAGGATCCACTTGAACCAGAAGCCCTTTTTGTGCTCGGAGTGCGGGAAGTGTTTTGTGAACAAGACGGACCTTGGCCGGCATCAGAAGACCCACCAGGACAAGATCTTTCCGTGTCCGGAATGCAAGCGGCGTTTTGCAGCCCATTCTGACCTCTCGAGGCACCTTAGGCGCCACCAGAATCCTCCTCTGCGATCTCCTTGCCCAGAGTGCGGCAAACAGTTCCCATCAAAGTCAGAACTTGCCCGCCACGAGGTGACCCACTCTGGAGAGAAGCCGTTCGTATGCCCCGAGTGCGGAAAACGCTTCAGCCGGGCCTACAATCTGGAGGCGCATGGGAAGACCCACCTGGGGGAAAAGCCGTTCCCATGTGCTGAATGCGGCAAACGGTTCCTCAGGAAGAGCCAGCTGACCTTACACGAAAGAACTCATACAGGCGAGAGGCCGTACTCGTGCTCAGAGTGCGGCAGACGGTTCGCCGGCAGCTCCGACCTCATCAAGCACCAGCGGCTGCACACGGGCGAGAAGCCCTACGCGTGCGACAACTGCGGCAAACGCTTTACTAACAAGCCCGACCTCACTAAACATCGGAGGGTTCACGGCAAGGAGGCGCCGTTCGTGTGCGCCAGGTGCGAGGAATGCTTTGCCAAGAGCTCAGATCTCCTGAGGCATCAGAAGGTCCATGCTGAAGAGCCACCACTTTGTTGCTCGGTTTGTGGGCAGTTCTTCTCGAGCAAGGCGGACCTTGTCGGCCATCAGAGAGTTCATTCAGAGGAAGGGCCCTTTTCGGGTTCTGAATCTGGGAGACGGTTTCAGCATGAGATCAGCCGACGAGGCCACCTCAGTAGTCACCTGAGAAACGAGTCGGACCTTCTGCCGAAAAACCACCCACATGCAGTAGAGGTGGACCTGTCAAGAGAACCTGTCATTTTGCCCTGAAAGGGCATATTTAAAAGGTTTTTGGTTTTATACTCTGGCTTAATTTCATTAAATATCTTAAATAAACTGGAGATTGTGTTGAAGAGCACTTCCGAAAACCACTAATTACAACCACTTACCTCCATGATAGGCAACGTGTTTAATAGGTGGTCTCAATTACGTGTCTGTGCCCACCCATTGATTGTCAGATGAAGCACACCCCCCCCTTTGCATTGCAGTGACATAGGTGGTTGAAGCACCTTCCATTGAGTGGTCTCCACATCACCTATGGAGATACATGGTGGGCATGCTCAAGTTCCCAACTCAACCAAAGCCATTAGAAGACGCCCATTAGGGATGGCCTCACCATCCCCAATGGGCATCATGCATCCACCTAACACCAGAGCAGTGACATAGGTGTTTGAAGCACCTTCCATTGGG